ACACGTAGGGTACTTGCAATCAATGTTTCTTATATGTAACATGATCTTTACAGTCTTAGGTCATTGCAAAAATTGAAGGAGTTCTAATTAGCTTTTCAAAAACTTTGTAGTGAAATTTCAGCTGACGAGATCACCTCGTTCGGTTATCTTGTGTTCAGGCTGCTGCTGCCTACCGTATTGTTAAATTAACTATCAACCAAAAAAAAAAACACCATTTTCAGAAAGAGATTAAATTCAAGTCTTCATATTGAAATTATCATCTCCCTTGGCCCTATGTATGTATTTCAGGAAACAAAATGGCTTTTCGTCTCGTCGTTGCTCTGTACGTTCATTTGGTTCACTTGGATTGCGTTGTACTTTGTTGTTCCGAATGAATACAAGGTAATAGGTACTTGGATATTCAACTTTCTGTTAAATACTAATTGGTTCATATAGGAGACCGTGATTGTGCTGGAACTAATCAGTTGCTCGTCCATACTACTCGGATTATTGTTCGGTCCAAAAATCTACATTCTCCTCTCATACGAGCCCGTAGTTGTAGAGTTTAAACAGGACAGCGCTCAGCAAGGCAACAACATGACACTTTTTGAAAGAGGTCTCTAGCTTACTTCTTTCTTAACTTCATATCATGCTGTCGCTTATTCAGACGACGATCTCCCATCCATACGAGCTGTGTCGCCAGCCAGCAGTGGTGGATCAACTCGTACGGCTTCGTCAATGCGTGGTGCGAAGATACAACCTCCTAATGTTCTATATCAAGACGAACAGGTACGTAATGCCAATTCAGCCTTGCTTCATACATTGTTATATATCTCATATCTTTCTCTTAGTCTCCCATCTTCCACACGGTTATGAGGAAAAAGAACAAGGTGCGCCGGTCGCACAGCGAACATGAATTAAGCGAGCAGGTAAGCTAAGAGTCATTTCAATTTCGCATATCTTACTTTCGATTCCGTATTGACAGATACTCCAATTTGAGTGTCATAGCTTCGATAAAAAGATGCCGTTTCGAAAGAATTCAAAAAAAAAAGTTCGGGAACCATGGGGTTGAATTAATTCACATCATCGTTGCCAAATGAACTAAAGTGGGG